CATCGAAGGCCAAGCGGAGGTCGTGGAGGACNGAACGGAGTTGGGCCAGAGATACCTTCGCCAACGGAGTGTATATCGTGTACCAGATGGGGCCTCTGTTGCCACGCGGACTACGGTTACCAGTACTCGACATCCAGGTGTGAGTGTCTAAGCAGGACAAAGCGTACGAGAGAGCAAACGATAACACCAGGAACATCGTTGATGTCATCAGGGGGAGAGGGTGGCGCGTCTTCGAGAAAATCCCCGAGTACTCCGGCGTGAAGTTGCCTTCCTCCTCTATGTGCTTCTTGAGCGCTTCGGGGGCCGATTTGGTCACGTGATACCCAATGGTGCGGGCAGGTTCCACGATGGTACTATACCACTCGCGAATTGTCATTGCAACCACGGTCACTGTGGGTTCAATCGTCGTTCGGAAGTCGTCAGTAGCAGTCTCTGGGGAGAGGCCAACAACCGCAGTGTACTCCGTGGCATTCGAAGCACGGCGTCCTCTCACCTCACTGGGTCCAACGAGTGTCTCTGTGGCGGTAGTGGTCACTATGGCAGATCTCTCCGCCTCGTCAGGGCCGCGGTTGGGGGTTCCAGCAGTCGCGGAGTCGCTGTTCTCGTCCTCCGCTAAGGTGATGACCATCGCATTGATGAAAGAACAGGTGCTGAGTGCGGTTAGCACGACGCGGAAACCGGCCTCCCTCGTGTACATGACGTAACGGTCACGACGCTCTACAAGGTCCGAAAAGAACTCACGGATCGAGGTCAGGTTGGGCCTCTTAGCAACGGGCAGCGGTGCGGGAGCTCGTCTCTTGCGGGATCGTTCGGCGGGGTCTGCAACTTCCATCTCACTATCAGAGGACGACGAGGAATCTTCAGCTTCCACCATGTTATGAAGGCGCACTGGTGCATCTTCGGAAAACTGTAAGAATGACTCTTCGAAGTCGGTGTCATCACGGTTGAGAGAGTGAGACGGTCAGGATGAGGGCGAGGGCTGCGGGGGTCAGAGCGGAACTTGGGTCCCCATGGTCGTATGAGAGGATTCGGCCGACAAGACCTCTCCCGAGTGAACCGGGTGGCATCAGAGCACGAAACAGCGCAAGAATGGCGGCTAAGGTAGCGATCATCTCAGTCCTTGCTTGGCTAAACCGGAACTGAGTCGTTCTAGTCTGCTTTGGCAAGGCAAGAGCTGCTCAAGCATGTTCCAAGAGACTCAACTACTCGTCAACCATCTTCGTCTTTATCGTGACTCACTTCACCCTGGCTGCACCGAGGAAGGTTCCTTGCCCGAACACCTGCTACATCGCCTGGTGGCACACCAAGACGTTCTGCGCCTTCCGGGCCAACTGGCCACTCACCTACTCGCTACTCACTTCTCGACTCTCTCGACCGATGGGGTAGTACCCAGATTCATTCTCGGTGATGCGTTGGCATTCGAGCGATCATTGCTTCTCAGTCCGAGCGGTGACACAGGCCACATCATACTAAGGTTGCTAGAAGGCCGGTCCGTCACTCTAAGGGGTAGAGAGTACAGCCTTATCCAGAACCCCCGGGGACCAGAGATCATCAACCGGTTGGCTCGTGCTGCAGGCAACCTCCTACACTCGGGTCCGAAGTTTCGTCTTTCGCTTGAGGAGCATGTCGTCCTCTCTCGATTTCAGCGATTGGTCGAGCGCGGGATCGAACCGTGGACTTTCAGTTTATTG